GCCCTCCGGGTTGCCCACCTTCCAGAGGCGGGACTCCCGTCGTACTGCCAGAATCTTCTTTAGCTCTGACTCCACAAAACCTTTGAGGCAAAGAGGTGAGCTGAGTGTTGTGGGGACAGACGTCTGGACAGACATCGCTGCTCCTCTTCCTGGCATGTGTCCCACAGACCCTCAAAAGCCACCAGGTTTCCTGTGACGCTCATGGTAACCAGCTCCTCTGCAGGCAGCTGCAGGTAGGGTGGGGGAGGCTGGTCCCCAGAAAGACTGGGACAGAACCCTGGGACCTTCAGCTCCGGAAACTGAGGCAGAGTCGTGCGGTGGTGGCGCACGCCTTTAATGCCAGCCCTTGGAAGGCAGAGGCAGGCAGATCCCTGTGAGTTCGAGGCCAGCGTGGTCTACAGAGTGAGTTCCAGGACAGGCTCCAAAGCTACACAGAGAAACCCTGTCTCAAGAAAAAAAAAAAAAAAAGTTGAGGCAGGAGGATCACAAGTTCAAGGGTAGCTAGACAACTTCGTAAGAATGTCTAAAATAATAAAAACAGATTCCTCAAACCCTAAATCCCATGAGATGCTCAAAGAAGTTATTTGAACACGAGCAGAGACTCACAGGACCCTGACTCCTGGCCTGGGCTTGGCATCAGGGTCTAAAGCAGAGGGCAGTGTGCCCAGACCTGCTCCACCAGCAGGAAGCTGGTGCCGTCTCCAGTAAATTGTGTGTTTGGGGCTGGGTAGGCTAGGAGGGTGCTGGTTAACTGGTGTGTGGACAATCGAGGCCACACATTGGACATGACCGAGCGAGCATGCAGGAGAAAAGGGGTTCTCAGAGTGCATTCTCAGAGTGTGGGGCAGGCAGAGCCTGCCGGGCAATCTCCACTGGATAGCCACCCCCTTCCTCAGCTCTACCACCCAGGCCAGTCAGCCAGGCACAGCCTCTCCCACACCCCTGGGCTCCTCCTGCAGTGGGGGCGGGAAGGTTGCTCCCGGGCAGGGTGTGCTACTGCCCCCAGCTGCCTGAAGTGAAGTCCCAGCTCTGTTGATAGTAGCTGTGTGCCTTGGGCAAGTTACTGAACCTCTCTGTGCTTCAATTCCCACGCTGTCAGTGGAATCAAACAACTTGTGAAGTCACCCACTTCAGAGGTGTCAATTCACCTTTTTAAAGAACGGCCCTAGCAATGACTGTGTAAGCACACACAACATCTTAGGGGTATTTTGGTTATTGTTGTGTTTGGGGTTTTTTGTTTGTTTGTTTGTTTGTTTGTTTTTAAAGTGTGTATCTGGGGGGCTGGAGAGATGGCTCAGTGGTTAAGAGCATTGCCTGTTCTTCCAAAGGTCCTGAGTTCAATTCCCGGCAACCACATGGTGGCTCACAACCATCTGTAATGAGATCTGGCGCCCTCTTCTGGTCTGTAGGCATACAGACAGAACATTGTATACTAAATAAATAAATATTTAAAAAAAAAAAAAAATAAAGTGTGTATCTGTGCACAGGTGCCTGTGGAAGCCAGGAGAGGGCATTGGGTCCCCTGGTGCTGGAATCACTGGCAGTTGTGGGCCACCCAACGCGGATCCTGGGGACTGAACTGGGGTCCTCTGCAAGAGCAACAAGCGCTTTTAACCGTGAGCCACCTCGCCAGGCCGAATGAACCAACTGCTGTTGTTCGATCCTACCCTGAGACCCTATAGGGTTGCTGAGCCAGAACCAGGCTTGGAGGTGTTCTCCCTCGGGCAGGAGCTGAGTGGGGCGAGTTGGGGTGTGCTTGTGTGGTCCGGCAGGACCCTAGCTAAGCCTGGAGGTCAACCAACAGCGCACCGCGCAAGTCAGTCACCGTAGGTCTCTGCTGCCACCTCGTGGTCAGTGCTCGCATTTCTTCCCTCAGCCGCCGGCCAAAGCCGGACTCTTACCCACTGTATCCGTGGCCCTAAACATCTTCTGCAGCTGAGACTGGGAGGTGGCAGTAACGCACGGGGCACACAGCTTGAGGTAGCTGTCCTCCTCCGCTTCCTCTCGCTCCCCTTTCTCCTCATGGGACAAGCCGTCCTTGGGAGGAAACTGAGGCACCCCTGGTCTCTGAGCCTGTGGAAAGAGAGGGTCAGGACTCCAGGCCTGGGTCTCTTCCTCCCCAAACCAGGAAACAAGAGGGGGGCAGTTCCCAGCTCAAAAGGGAGAGAGACCCTGGGACCCAGCCCCGCTGACCTTGGCCATGGCTGATTTCTGCAGTTGTTTGTATAAGCCAAGGAGATAATTCCATGGGGTGGACCCCACCTTGCAGGAGGTCAGCCTGAGGTCTCCTGTGGAGAATCGGTCAGTGAGGCCGGGCAGGTTGATGAGAGCCTTCTCAGAGGGAGAGGGAAGGCCCTGAGGGTAGGCCTACCCTCTTCTGATGGTTTTTTCCTTTTGTTAATTTTGTTCATTACACTTTTATTTCTTTCTTTCTTTCTTTCTTTTTTTTCGATTTTCAAGACAGGGTTTCTCCGTAGCTTTTTGGTTCCTGTCCTGAACTAGCTCTTCTAGACCAGGCTAGCCTCAAACTCACAGAGTACACTTTTCTTTCTTTGTCTTGGGTACACACCGTGGCGTGTGTACAAGGGGTCACTGGACAGCTTGTATGAATCTGTTCTCAGCTTCTAGCCTGTAAGTCCCAGGAACACGGGTCCTCGAGCTTGGCAGTGGCCCTCTTTACCTAAAGACCCACCTCGCTGCCCCACGGTCTTATTGCTTTGTGTGGATTTGTTTTGCTTTCTGTTTTGGAGACAGCAGCTCATGAAGCCCAACCTCCAGCTCTGCTATGTAGCCAAGGCTGGCCCCGAACTCCTGACTTCCTGCCTCTGCCTCCTGGGGGTTCCAAGTGTGGGCCACTATGCTTAGCTGTGCTGTTGCTATGACTTTTCTTGTTGAGAGAAGTATGTCCCTATGAAGCTGGGTGGACCTTGGACTTGGGACAGCTCTTTCCTCCCTCTAAGTGCTGGACAGTGCCTACTGTGTGCCAGGCCATGTCATCACTGCACCTGACTGTGTCCTGTGTTAACAGAATGGCCACTGAGTGCCAGGCCCAGTCACTGCACCCGGCTCTGTGCTGGGTCAGGCTCTGGTCCGTGACAAACAGCATCTCGCTGACGCTTGAGTGTGCCTCCGAGACATGAGCTATCTGGTTTCCACCGTACAGACAAGGCGCGTGGGGCAGAGAGGTTCAGCAATGCTCCACTGTCCTGCAGGGCTCCCCACCCCAGAGGGCCTAGAGGACAGGTGTCCATTTCTGCCCCCCTCCAGCTATCATACTTACCTATCCCAATTAGGCAGGGCCCCTCCTCTTCCTCTTTGACCAATGCCCCAGGGGCGAGTGCCAGTGGTCCCGGAACCCACTGCAGGCATCCTTGTTCCGCCTCCAGGGCCTGAGCAAAGTGCTCCCTAATCCCAAAGCACAATCAGGTGAAGGAGTCAGGGGACACCCAGAGGTGTGGCCATGCCCTGATCCGCCCTGGGGTCTCTTCACAGATCTGTTGGGTACCTTTCACACAGGGAGTAGCTGCTAAGACCAGGAAGGGAGGGTGAGCCGGCAGGCTGGGAGCACTGGGCTATAGAAGGGGCTGAGAACAGAGGCGCCAGCCAGCACGGCTTCACTCTTCAGGACCCTTTGCCCCAACCCTTCACCAGCCATGGGCCTCCAGCCTGTACCCTGCTTTCTCTGGACAATACCCTCCCCCCCACCACAGCGCAGCCCCTCACCTGTCTGAGGCCCCAGAGGCCTCCCCTGCTGTCTCTTTCTCCTCTCCTTTCTTCTCAGACAGGTGCCCCAGAACCTCCGTTATTTCTCTGGTGGGGACTGATGTCACCTCTACACCCTGGGCCTGGAGCTTCAGGGTATCCTTGGAGGTGAGGGTCTGGGACCCCATATCCCCAGTGCCCAGCCCAAAGGCATCATGAGGCGGCACGTTTGAGGGAGCTACAGAGAGGACCCTGGGTACCACTGCGTGTAGCTTTGGCGCCCTCCTCCAACGACCTCCCCGGGGGTCAATCCTTGGGGAGACAACCTCCTGTTCTTGTGAGGGGCTGGGCCCGCTCCTGGCCAGGGACTTGTTAGAACTCCCCTTGCTCCCGACCAGGCTTCGTAGAAAGCGCAACACGGAAGAGCAGCCCAAGATTCGTGACCGTGACCGAGGGGTCCGAGCCTGGGCTGCCATCCTGAGGGGTCCTTGACTCAAGAAGCCATGGTAGGCAGCCAGCCCAGGACCAACTGCTAAAAGAAACCTCCAGTTGGAAAGCTCCAGGAGTTCTAGAAGGCAAAGGAGAGGTGGGGGTGGGGGAAGAATGACTTGGAGCAGTGGGGGCGGGGTGCTGCTGGGAGGAGAGGGGTACAGGGAGCCAGCCAGGGTCTGGAGACTGAGGGGAGGGGAGACACAGGAAAACTGCACCCAGAGGCTGTGTAGGCCTTGCTGGGGAGGACAGGAGCCTCTCCCTCTGTGCTGGGAGGGCACAGGGCCTGCGAACAGCACTCCACACACGCCTGTCTCTTTAGAATTTATTCTGTGCTTGAGGTCAGTCCCTGAGGCCTGGCAGGGTCTGGGTGACAGCACAGATTCTACTGCGTCTTTTTCTTCCCTCCTCCTTTTATTCAGGGTGTCACGTAGCACAGGCTGGCCTCCATTTCCTGATCCTCCTGCCTCAGCCTCCCGAGTGCTGCCATGGTGGACCTGCATCAGCACCCCCAGCACCATGTTGGTTTTTGTTGTTGTTTGTGTTTTGTTTGCCACTGGAGGGAGAAGATGGAGGGTGAGGGCCTGGAATCAGAGCAGGGAAATGCAGCGAAGAGTCGGCTTCCCCCTTGCCTGGGACCAGGCAGGCGCAGGAGGCTGCAGGTCCCGGCAGCCGAGTCCCTGTGCATCTGCATCCGGCGGCCATCGAGCAACTTCCTCTAGAGGGAGCTGATCACTGCCGAGAGCAGCTGGCTCCTCTATGGTCACAAAGTCGCGAGGCTTCCTGGGCCAAGAGACAGCCCGAGGCGGCTTCCAGACACCGTGAATTCACTGACGCGGGTTCCCACAAGTCAGGCCTGAAACCTTGCCCCTGGGATCAGCCGCCAGACTCTCGGGATCTTTGTTTCTCAGACTGCTGAGCCATCCACATCTGGACCAGAACCGCGCAGGTACGCTGGCAGCCAGTGCCAAACCCCATCTTCCTAATCCTGGCACCTCCGGCCCAGGGCGGGGCAGAAAGCCCCGTCGGGTGGGAACGAGCTGAGGAGGGAAGCCTTCAAGTTTCCCTGGGTGGTCCTCAAAGTCATGCTGGTGGTCTGCTCCAAACAAGGCCACCTCCAGCTGAACACTAGACAGCTTCCCTTCTTGGCCAGGCTCTCGTGGCCCTGGATGCCAGGCAACTGGGACTTTTGTTATCTGGAAGGAGGGGAGGGTGAAGGTCAACGACAGAAATGTCACAGTTGCTCCCCCCCCCCCCCCGTGCTGTCGCAGGACCCCTAGACCGATTCTAGGTACAGCCTAGTGGCTGGCTGTGGGGAGCACGCATCATGGGTCCAGCAAGAGGATGGAATGGGAAGTCAGGTCACTTGGACGGGGGCCAGGTGGCCCAGGCCAGCAAGAACTGTGGGGGCTGTTGAGAGCCCACCTGCTCCCCAACAGCAAGCCTCCAGGGTGGCTGAGGATGCAGTCAGCATCCCCTGGCCCTGGCGGCCTGAGATTACCAGGCTGAAGAACAAGGGCTGCAGGAAGAGCCCCCTATTCCCGAAGGAGCGGCTGGGTGGACCATGCCAGGCAGAAGACTGTCTTAATGAGGCCTAGATTGCAGGGACGAGGAGAGGGCCTGCTCACCCTGACTCTAGCACTGATGAGGAAGCCCTGCAACCCCTTTTCAGAGAGTAACTTTCTAAACTAGTCTCAAAGGTGGGGTGGGCGCCCAGTCCCAGGCAGCTAGGGGGCTTGGTCCGAGGCGAGTCTGCACCCTTTTCACTGGCAGGAAGGTCACTTCCTGAAGTGATGGAGGCAGCTTGGGAAGGAGGGGGACTCTTGAAAGGGGGTGCAAACTGAAAGTGAAAGGTCGCTTGCTCAGGAAATAACTGTAGACACCAGCAGCGCAGGGCCAAGACCGGTCAAAGAGGAAAACGGGCTTGGGTGTGGCGTGGTAAAGGACATCTATAATACTAGCACACCAGCGTCTGAAGCAGGAGGATATCCTGGCTAGTGAGAACCTGCCTAACATAGATAAATAAACCAATAACCAAAAGAAAACACAGTTAGCACCAACGTGTAGGGGTGAAGTGTGAGGGAGGCTGTGAGGGGTCCCACGGTGTAGGGGTGAGGCAGGCTGGGAAGGCTGTGAGGGATCCCATGGTGTAGGGGTGAGGTGTGAGGCAGGCTAGGGAGGCTATGAGGGATCCCACGGTGTAGGGGTGAGGTGTGAGGCAGGCTGGGGAGGCTGTGAGGGGTCCCACGGTGTAGGGGTGTGGTGTGAGGCAGGCTGGGGACACTCTGAGGAGTCCCACGGTGTAGGGATGAGATGTGAGGCGGGCTAGGGACACTCTGAGGAGTCCCACGGTGTAGGGGTGTGGTGTGAGGCAGGCTGGGGAGGCTGTGAGGGGTCCCACGGTGTAGGGGTGAGGTGTGAGGCAGGCTGGGGACACTCTGAGGGGTTCTAGCTCACTTCCATGCAGGCTGTAACCGGAAGAAGCGATGCCCTGGGAACAAGCCATGAAGTAAGCGCTGAGATGTAGCTTAGCTGGTAAAAGCATGGCCAGCGCACACACTCCTGGGTTTGATTCCAGCACACCTGGAACCTCAGCACTCACATAATAGAGGCAGGAGGATCATTCTCTGACCTATACTCAATTTGAGGCCAGGGTGGGCTACATGAGACTCTGTCTCAAAAGGCAAAAACCGAAAAATCTGGGCCAGCAGAGAGCTCAGCAGGTGAGGGGCTTGCTGCCAAGTGTGACAGCCCAGGTTCTGTCCCTGGAACCCACGTGAAGGAAGCAGGGAGCTCACTCCTGAAACTGGTCCTCTGACACCCACATATATCTCATGAGCCACGCACACACAGACACATTAAAAATATATAAATCCAGGTTAAAAAACAAAAGCCGCCGATGGTGGCCTACAATCCCATCACTCGGGAGGCAGAGGCAGGAGGATCTCTGAATTCAAGGCTAGCCTGGATCTACAGCCAGTGCTACACAAAGAAATTCTGTCTCAAAAAACAAAACAAAACTCTGCAAGACAAATGTCTTTCTCTGACCTTGTGCTTGTGGTCCAGGTAATTCCTTTCTTTCTGTCCTGAATTTTCTAGCCTATAAAACAGTGTGCCAGCTGCACCTGCATCATCGTGGGAGTTTTCTTTCCTTCCTTCCTTCCTTCCTTCCTTTCTTTTTAGTTTTAGAGACTGGATCTCATTAGGTAGCCTTGGCTGGCCTGGGACCTCATGTGTAGACCAGACTGGTCTAGAACTCACTGTCTCCCAAGTGTTAGGATCAAACACGTCACATCACAAACATCCAGTTATGTCCATTTTCAACACACAACACAACTAAGTTCTCCTATGTGTCAGGAGTGTGTGGTAGACTCAAGAGTTTGCTCCCAGGCTCTTTGGGGAAACAAGTATGTCCCCACCATAGCCATGGGGAAGTGGGCCTGGAGGAAGGCCCTCAGGGCTGGGAAGGGGTAGGCAGCCTCAGAAACAGCAGAAGGGCCCCCCAGTCTGTCAAAGCAGCCTCACCCTGTCTTGGGGCAACTGTGACAAAAATGAGAACCTTCACGGCAGGGCTGGGCCACAGCCTCCTGGACGCCTCACCTCGCCTGGTCTCTGCGGGCTTCCTCAAGTTTATGTGTCTCCCCTAAGGCTTTCAGCCAGGGGCTGAGTTCCCACTGCTCCCAGGGGACACCACCAGGTGCTCCCAGAGGACTGCAAAGTCTCCCTGGCAGTAGGAGAAGTGGGGTTCCCTCACTGGTTCCCTCACTCCTGCCAGCACAACCACTGTCTAGGGTTTCCAGCCCAATCAATGTCCCTGCTCTAATCTCTGCTTGCTCTCTTTCTTTCTTTCTTTCCTTCCTTCCTTCCCTCCCTCCCTCCCTCTTTCTCTCCTTTCTTCATTTTCCCCCTTTCTCGAAACAGGGTTTCTCTGTGTAGCCCTGGCTGTCCGAGAACTCACTCGTCGGACCAGGCTGGCCTTGAACTCAGGGATCCGCCTACCTCTAATTAAAGGCGTGCCACCACGCCCAGCTTTTTTTTCTCTGCAGAGTGAAAGTGCTGTCCACACAGACCTGAAAGATGGCATCTGGACAAGGACCAGGTCCCCCAAGGGAGGGCTGTGATGACTCCCCTTCTGGTAAGGCCCTCCTGACCCTCACCATCCCATAATCTCAAGAGTGAGCCGGCAGGGGACTGGCGTGCAGGGGGTGGGGCGCGAGACTTCCCCAGGCACAGGGACCTGGTGGAGGCAAGTGAGGAAGGGAGGCAGAAGAGTCAGGCAGCTGCCCTGTGCTCACAGTGGGAGGCAGGAGGAAGAGACCTGGTTTATCCCAGTGAGGGTGGGGTGGGGGCATAATGGCTGCCCTTTAAGTGAACTGGCAGGGGTTGGGGGGTACAGGCTGGTCCCTGGACTTGAGGTTCATATTCCAGGTCTGTGCGAGAGGGGTGTAGTTGCTCATGTCTGCAATCCTAGCACTTGAGAGGCTGGGGCAGGATTGGGACAAGTTTTAGGTCAGTCTGTTCTATGGAATGAATTCCAGGTCAGCCTGGACTAGGGTGAGGTAGAGACCCCGTCTCAGAAGGAAAACACCAACGCCAGTGCTGCGCGGAGGTGCACGCCTTTAAGCCCAGCACTTAGGAGATAAAGACAGAAGGATCTCTGTGATTTGAGGCCAGCCTGGTCTACAGAGTTCCAGGCTAGCCAAGGCTAAACACTGCAAGACCTTATCTCAAAAACTGAAGACAAGGCTGGGCAATGGTGGTGCACGCCTTTAATCTCAGCACTTCTGAGGCAGAAGCAGGAGGATCTCTGTGAGTTCAAGGCTAGCCTGGTCTACAGAGGGAGTTCCAGGAGAGCTAGGACTGTTACACAGAGAAACTCTGTCTTAAAAAAAAAAACAAAAACCCTGAAGACAGAGACCACCATCCTTCAACTGCCCAGTTTGGTTTCCTCCTGTTTTCTCCACTCTAAGGGCTGGAGACCTTGTCCACCTGGCCACTCACGAGCCCGGTTCTGCATGTCGTTCTGCAGTTTGGCTCTTTAGGAGAGCAGAATAGGTAGAATGAGCATACATTACAGGCGGGACTTACTAGATTGGGATACGTGACCCAGTAAAGGCCACCTACACACTGGGCAGGCTGAGAACCTGTGAGCTCCCCTTCTTCCACAAGGCGGGGGTGGGGGTGGGGAGGGGGTGAGGGAGGCTCAGCAGTCCCAGCTCATCTAGTGCTGAAGCCGTGGAGGATTCCCGTGCGGGCCCTGGTCTCAGTGCACAGTGGAGGATTCCCGTGCGGGCCCTGGTCCACAGCAGAAGGCTGAGGTTGCTGGGTTCTATAACAGTGAAAGCAGCAATGTCAGGGTAGATGTACTTAACAACAGGGAGTGGGAATGGGCAGATAGAGAGGGAAGGTGGGCAGTGGGGGAGGGCTGGTGGGGGGAGGGTGGGCAGCGGGGGGGGGGGACTGGCAGGGGGAGGGCGGGCGGCGGGGGAGGGCCGCCACTGGTACTGCCACTGGAAGGTGAGTGAGCTCACTGTGGGAAGGCCTTCCCCACTCAGTCTATCCTTCTGGAAGACACCATCAGATCTACCCAGAGGTGACTAGCTGATTCCAGATCCACTGACTTGACAACCAAAATGAACAGCTCCTCTCTGTCTGTCCAGCTGCATGACCTTGTGTACATGGCTTGGCCATGTGTGCCTCAGTTTCCCTGTCTGTGGGCTGGAGCTCATTTACATGCCAGGACAGTCATGAGGAATGGATGGTCACACTGGCAGAACACCGTGGGGGTAGGCTGCTGAGGCCCGCCTTCTCTCACTGACCCGCAGTTCTGACCCCCAGAACAGCAGGTTGCCCAGGACACGGAGGAGGTCTTTCGAAGCTTCGTTTTTTACCTCCATCAGCAGGAACAAGAGACCCAGGGTGCTGCTGCCTCTGCCAACCCCGAGATGGACAACTTGCCCCTCGAACCCAACAGGTAAGCTCCAGCCCTAGGGGCTGGTCCCTGGGCTCCTTTCAGGGTCCGCCTGTCCCTCGCCCTTACGCGGCTCTCCTGCCCACAAACACTGTCACGAACCTTCAGAGGGGTGCAGCAAAGTCTGCCTTGACCCCACGCTGCCAGGAGAATCCTTCTCTGTCATGAGTCTGGTTCCCAGGGCTAACTTCCCATTCCCCAACTCTCGATCCCACAGCGTCTTGGGTCAGGTGGGCCGGCAGCTTGCTATCATTGGAGATGACATCAACCGCAGATACGACGCGGAGTTCCAGAATTTACTGGAGCAGCTCCAGCCCACGGCTGGGAATGCCTATGAACTCTTCACTAAGATTGCCTCCAGGTACCCATCCCTCCACCCCGCATACATGGGCTCCCTGGTTGGGGACAGTGTCGGGGTGAACTCAGACATGATACCCACCCGTCTCCCCCTCTCTGGGTCCCACTCACTCTTTTGCACACAAGCTCGTGTCTTTTCGGGGCTCTGACACCAACAACTAGCACCCTGGGGTGGGGACAGTCCCAAGAGCCCTGCAGTTGGGATGGACCAGCTTCTGTCAATTGCGATTCAGTGGCATCTAAGAGGCCACCTGGTGCGCAGGACAGAGAGTCACTCCTACGTGGCTCGCATCCCACCTTGCCACTGGCCACCACTGTGAAACCTCCTGGGAAACAGAGAATCTTAGTGTTCCCTCTTTCAAACTACATCCACGTTGGTTTGATTTTTGTTTTTTTTTTTAAATCATTTTTTGTTTGTTTTTTGTTTTTTTCTCTGTGTAGCCCTGACTGCTCTGTATTTGCTCTTGTAGACCAGGCTGGCCTCGAACTCAGAGAGATCCCCCTGCTTCTGCCTCCCGAGTGCTGGGAATATAAGCGTGTGCCCACCAGTGCATAGCTGGATTCTGATCTTCTGTGCAGGGGTGCTCTATCTGCTTATACTTACGTGTGCCAGTTGTGTGTCTGAGGCCAGAGGCCGGAAGAAGGCCTCTGGAGCTGTAGTCACAGATGACTGTGAGCCATCATGCAGGGGCTGGGATTTAACTCAGATCCTCTGCGAGAGCAGCCAGTACTCATAACCACTGAGCTACCTCTCCAGTCCCTTGGTTTTTTTTTTGGGGGGGGGGAGTCTCATGTAGCCCAGGCTGGCCTTGAACTCTTGATCCTCCTACCTCAGCCTGGCGCTAGGATCATTGGCACGTGCCACCAAGCCTGGTTGTATCCGCTGTCCTTTCCCTGAACCGGGAGTCAGTGTCAGGGTAGATCTAGAGATGGCGGGAAAGGCAGAAGCGGGTGACAGGCTTCAGATGAGTGCTCAGTGCTGGCATGTCCTGTCCCTGCCCTCAGCCAGGACCCACCCTGTGTTCCAGTGGTTTGGGATCTTTCCTAATCTCTTCTGTCCTTTTCTCTCTGCTGTCCCCCGGGCTGCCAGGCCAGCAGCAACCTTCACAGGTAATGTCCTTGCCGCCCGCCCGTCTGCCCACTCTTCTCTCTCTGGGCCCTCTAGACTAGCTACAGCTAGTTCCTCGCCCTCTTGGCTTCCTCCTTTCACCTGTGAGACCCAGGATCTTCCTGACTGGCGGCCAGGCCAAGGCAGACTTTCTGACCTGGACTGGCAGCTCAACCATTTAGCTTCCCAGTGCGGGGGTGGGGAGGGTAAGGGGGATAGGGGGGTAAAGGAAGAAGGAAAGAGATGGCCCCCAAGGCGGGCTCTCCATGATCTTCGGAACCCTTTGCCCACAGCCTGTTTAAGAGCGGTATCAGCTGGGGCCGCGTGGTGGCTCTCCTGGGTTTTGGCTACCGCCTGGCCCTGTACGTCTACCAGCGTGGTTTGACCGGCTTCCTGGGCCAGGTGACCTGCTTTTTGGCTGATATCATACTGCACCATTATATTGCCAGATGGATTGCGCAGAGAGGCGGCTGGGTGAGTGTCGGGGGTGGGGACATCCCCCTGCCATTCGAGCTAGTCCAGCCACTCCATAACCCACCCCTTTTCTTCTGACAGGTGGCAGCCCTGAATCTGCGCAGAGACCCCATTCTGATCGTGATGACAATTCTTGGTGTGGTTCTGTTGGGCCAATACATGGTACAGAGATTCTTCAGGTCATGACTCCTGGGAGCCCTTTGGGGCCCCAGCCTAAACTTCTCCCTACCCCCCTCCCCTGCAACAATCCTCTCCTTCCTCCAAGAGCACAGATGCTTTAGCAAACAGGCCCCCTGCTTTGGAGACCCGCTGCCCAGGGGTCCCCGAGGAGGCACGGATACCCCAACATTGCATGGTGCTACTGAGCCCCGTCCTGTCTGAGCGGGCTGATTGGTGCCTTGGAGACACAAGAGACTGGGTACTGCTTCCCAGGAAGTTTTTAACGGTTTTTGCTTTTTATACTACCATTTGAGACACCCCCCACACTTTTCTTCCACAGAACCCCAAGTCAGGCATTTGGGGATCTGGGGACCAGCGGTTCTAACCTTTGTCCCCAGACCTCCTGCTACTTTGGAAGGTCAGAACTTGAGAGGGGGCTTGAGCCCAGACTGGCCCTCCCTACACAGGGCTGGCTGTAAGGGTGCGTGACCTGCTCGGTCCCCCCACCCCTGTTTCTTACTCCCCCAGTTCCATCCCCCATTCTCCTCTCCCCCTTCCAACCCCATTGCATTTTGCCTTTGTGGCTGGACTCTCAGGGATCCCGAGCCCACAGTGAGGGTGGAGGTCAGAGTTCAGACCACAGCTGTCTGAATATGTTCATCGAGGCCCTCCAAACCTTTGTCCCTTCCTGGCATTCTCCAGTTTTCACCCATCCCCTGACCCAAGGACCACTGCTTCCAACCTAGTGGGCAGGGGAGACCCTCACCTTCTCTCCAGAGCCCCAGGTGAGCCTGCCTGCTAGGAGGGCCTCCTTGACTGAGAGAAGAGCCTCGGACTCTGTTGTTAGGACAGGGGAAGGGGCGGACTCATTTGGAGGTCTCAAGCTAAAGAGCTACACCTGCAGGGGCAATTGTGGATCTGGGTGCAGTGTGACCCCGGACCTGTGAATACTTGAACCACACCACCACCCATGCTCCTTGTCTGCCTAGGCCCTTTGGGTGGGGTGGGGGTGTCTTCTCTATCTTGCACAACATAGGGGTAATGCAGGGAGGGGAGGCAGACGGGTCCCCCACCTCACCTCTAACTGTGTCTGGAAATAAACTGTGCAATCCCCCCAACACCCCACCTGGCATTTTTACCCTCTGCTGGATTGTGGGAAATTGGGCAGACAGATATAATCCTGACTCCATACCACATAAGTCCTTCTACTGAGATTCCAAAATCCTGGGCACAAGGCTGCAGGTGGCTGGAAAATCAGAACAAACCACAACCAGCCCTTTGTAGCATCCCGCCAGATCTTAGCCCTTAGTCTCATGGTTTTTTTCTGTGCATTTAGGAAGGGGCACGTGTGGGAGTGTGTGTGTGTGTGTGTGTGTGTGTGTGTGTGTGAGAGAGAGAGAGAGAGAGAGAGAGAGCGAGAGAGAGCGAGAGAGAGAGAGAGAGAGAGAGAGAGAAGAGGGGAGGGGAGAGGAGAGGAGGGGAAAGGAGAGGAGAGGAGAGGAGAGGAGAGGAGAGGAGAGGAGAGGAGAGGAGAGGAGAGGGCACCGGGAGGGAGGGAGAGTTCTCCCCTTACACCACTCTGGACCTGGACATGGAACTTAGGTGGTCAGGTCTTTACCCACTGAGCCATCTTACGCCCCCCTTATTTCTTTGCATTCCAGGTCTCCCACCACAAGGAAAGTCAGGGGCCCCTTGGGTGGGGAGCTCAGTGGGCCACCTCTCTACAGGAACCACAGCCCACACGACTTTAAAGGCCCTTTCTCACACTCAGCTCTGCCTGGGACATGATGTTCCAGCTCCCCCGTCCCCCGTGGACACACACACATGCGTGGCTTTTTTGATCCTAGGAGTTTTGATGCTGCATGGGAGCCCCTACAGAGAGGCAGCCAGGGGGGATAAAAATAACAAGCTGGGGGCGTTGAAATGTTCCGGAATTCACAAAGATTCCTTTCTGCCTTCAGTGCTAGGCACCCCGGTTTGTGCTTCTGACACCCTCCCGAGCCGGTCACATCACGTGCCCGTCCAAGGGGCCCCGGTGAAGCTGTACTTTTCACTGGCCTGGGTTGGCTCTCTGAACCCTCGCCCCTCCCTTCGCCTCCAGTGTGCCCACAGGGTGCTGGAGGCTGGGAGAGCGTTCGCACCGCCGCGCTAAGCTCACAGCCGACACTTCAGGCGCCGCGTACCAGCGTGTAAATCGAGAGCTTCCTTTAGATATTGGAACAACATGTGATGGGTGGGTGCATTAGACGCCCACCTTTCAGAAAGGCTGGGTAGCAGAGAGCATTGAGCTAGAACTTGCCACAAGGTTACTGGCTCGAAGTTTTACCTGGAAGCAGGAGGAGCGGGTCACTGGCCTCACGAGCACATGAGTTTAGGTGGACAGAATGTTGAAGGAACTCTCTGATCCTCCCGGCTAAGGCCACAGTCCGAAGGGGAGGGTGCTGCCCGAGTCCAAGATGGCCGTCGCAGTTTCACACCCGCTTGCGTGCCCATTTGTGGGTGGGACCTGGGAGCTAAATTTTTTCTAGTCGGTTCTTTGGTTTGGAAACGTAGGGCAAGGAGGCAGTAATTTACATCTGCAAGGAAAGCGAGCCCCAGGTTTGGGGCTTTGGCTTCTCTGGCCCCGTCCACACCTAACAAAGAGTCCCCTAAACTTCATTCCTAGGTACCTTCCGGAGCTGCCCAAACCAGGGGGCGAGAAGTTAGGAGGGGTAGCATAAGGAAGAGGCTGCCGGGGTGCAGATGGACCCTGCAGGTGCTGCGGTTAAATCGAGAGCACGCACTCCTACGCTCCAACATTTGTGGGTCTCCCGAAACTGTACCTTGTTTGCACCAGATACATCTGGATTTCACGAGTCCACAAAGCGAGTAGGAGGTCAGCTGCGCTTCGCTGAGACCCCGTGTCCCGCCCCCCCCCAAAAAAAAGTCATTAGGTGTCTATCCAGTTTATTGGGGACAAAAAAAAAAATCCTTCTCTTATCCCAAATTACTCAGTATCTGCCATATCCACCTACCACAGTGCATACTTCAGATGTAATGGATTCCAACCCCAGAACTGGAAAGAAAAAGAGCTAGTTACTAACACTGACGTGAGTCCCTGATCGGTGAGAGACCCGGTTTCAAAACCAAGAAAAGCTCGCGTCTGGAGAGATGGCCCAGCAGTTCTGCTGCTTGGGCAGGCCTGGGACCTGAGTCAGTTCCCAGCACCCTCTTCAGGCTACAGCTGCCTGCAGTTCCGACTCCATGGGGTCTGACGCCCTCGCTGGCCTCCCAAGACATCTGCACCCGTGTACGCAGACCTGACCACCAAACACACACACTTACCCATAATTAAAAAATAAAAAATAGGGCCAGTAGTGTGGAAAGGCGCCTGCTGGAGGGCATGTGACCTGAGACCGACTCCTGGGACCCATTCCTAGGGGATGTCGTCCTTGGATCTCCAGATGCGCACCCTACACATGTTATAAATAAGTGTATAAGTAAACTAAATACTGAATGTTCAAGTTCCTTGAGAATGTTATATGTGCCTAAACTTTTTCTCATTTGACTTGTAAATCTGTCCTGTGAGGACTTGTACTTGGAACATAAAATCAAGAACGTTAAATTTGTAAACATAGTTTAAATATTTACAAGAACTTAATTAGCTAAGTTTGTAAATGGTACGAGTGATGTTCAAGCAAATTAATATGTCAGCCCACGGGCTGACTTTGAACACCACTCAAAGGGTGGGTTATTACTTTTTCATTATAAAATGTATATACGCTGGAGAGATGGCTCAGAGGTTAAGAACATTGCCTGCTCTTCCAAAGGTCATGAGTTCAATTCCCAGCAACCACATGGTGGCTCACAACCATCTGTAATGGCCTCTTCTGGCCTGCAGGCATATACACAGACAGAACATTGTATACATAATAAATAAATAATAAAAAAAGGGATAAAATGTATATACTACACAGAATGTGCAAGAATTCTAAAGAGAAGAGAACATCAGCCTATGCAAGTTAAACCTGAGAATTTAGGAAAGTGTGCCTTTAAATTTACAATTTCATTTATTTTATTTTATTTAGTTATTTAATTGGTTTTTTGAGACAGGGTTTCTCTGCGTAGCTTTGGGGCCTGGAACTCACTCTGTAGACGAGGCTGGCCTCGAACTCACAGAGATTCACCTATCTCTGCCTCCCAGTGTTAGGCATGCACCACCACCCGGCACAATTTTAACTAATATATATTGAGAAAGAAAGAGTCGGGTGTGTTGTGGCACAGGCTGGTCTTGAACTTGTTTTGGAGAAGATGACTGTGAATTCCTTATTCTTGGGCCTCTTCCTCCACACACTGGGATATGAGATCATAGACATGTCACAGCCTTAGAAACTGTTTTCTGCTTTTTTTCTCTATTGGGTTAAAGGCTTGTTCCACCATGCCCCGCCCAGGATTTTTTTTTTTCAATGCCGGGGAACCATGCATACAAGCTAAGCGTTCTATGTCTAGCTGTGTCCCCAGCTGTTGAACTGTTGTCATGGCTCATTTTTGAGACAAAGTCTCACTGAGTAGCCTTGGCAGGACTTGCTGTGTGTGCTAGGCCAGCCTTGAACTGACAGAGATCTGTCTGCTCTACCTCCTGATGTTAGGGTTAAAGATCCCCTGGAACTGGCTGTAAACTGCCCAGCACAGGGGCTAGGAACCTAACCGAGTTCCTGTGCAGGATTACCAAGTGCTCTAAACCCCTGAGCCATCTGTCCAGCCCTGAGAAACAGGGCTCTAAAAAGTCTCACCAATCGCTTTTCATATGGTTTTGATAATTTTAAAGTTTTATTTTTCAAAGGACTTAGTAAAAGTTGGCTGGTCTGTGGTGGCGATCACAACGGGGCTTCGCGTTTCTCCATCTGGCTCTGAACTAATGATAGAGTCGAGGCTGGTGCGGGACCCCTGGTCCCACCTTAGCCTCTCCCTGCTACCAGGGACCGGTGCAGCGGTGCAGCGAGGAGCCCAGGGAGACACAAAAGCTGGGATTAAAGGCCCTAGTTAATTATTTATGATTAAGGCAGGGTCTCACACTGTAATCCAAGCTGTTCCAGAAACTCATGGTAATCCTTCTGCCTCAGCTTTCCAAATGCTGGGATGACAGATGTGAGACACCACACCTGCCTAGAGCTTTTTGGAAGTGCTTGTGCCGGTGTTAGTTATCACCAGTGTTGCCGTCCATGACCTTGCCTTGTCGCCTGACGCTTTACACCTGTCAAGCAACAGTCCTTGTCTTAGTCACCACGTGGCTCCAGAGGGTTAGAGTCCATGACCATCACGGCGGGCAGCATGCAGGCCCTGGAGCAGTAGCTGAGAGCTTACATCTGACCCGTAAACAGGAAGCAGAGAGGGAGCTAGCTGGGAATAGCGTGGGCTTTTGAAATCTCAAAGTCCACACCAGTGGCAGCCTCCTCCAACAAGGCCACACCTCCTCCAAGGCCACACCCCCTAATCCTTCCAAACAGCTCCACCAGCTGAGGACCCAGCACTCAAATCAAATCTTTGGGCCCATGGGGAAGGGGTGGTATCCTCATTCATCCCTCCACAGTCCTCCATCTCCACCTTACAACCTCCCTCTACTCCCCTGCTGGCAACAGCCCCTCCCACCCCTGGCTATTTTAGATCCTTCCTATGAGAGCCACACAGAAGCCCAACTTTACCAGAGTAGGGTGTATGAGAGGCAAGTCAGACCACACCAGGGTCTCAGCACAGTCCTTTAACTCTCAGGAAGGAGCCTGTTAAAGTGGTCTGTGTGCTGACTTAATAGGATTGGACCCGAGACTCCTGTGTTAGAACGCTCGGCCCATAGGGAGGGGCCTATTAGGAGGTGTGGCCTTGTTAAAGGAAGTGTGTCACTGTGGAGGCGGGCTTTGAGATCTCAGATGCTCAAGCTAAGCCTAGTGTGCCATTCACTTCCGCTGCCTGCAGATCAAGATGTAGAACTCCGTTGGGCAGTGGTGGTGTGTGCCTTTAGTCCCAGCACTCGGGAGGCAGAAGCAAGCTGATCTCTGTGAGTTGGAGCCCGGCCTGCTCTACAGAGTGAGTTCCAGGACAGCCAGGACTGTTACACAGAGAAAAAGATGTAGAAC